TTTTTTGGTTTTGTTTTGTTTGGGTTTCATTTTGTTTTGCAAAGCACAAAATGTAGCCAATTAGTGCATTACAGAGGAAATGTATCCCACAGTCAGCAGTAAATAAGGATTATTTAATGTAATTTATTTTTCCCCTTGGACTTCAATGATATTCTGGGAAAAAGATTGTTTGGGTAGTATAGAAACACAGTGGCAATTTTAAAACAAAATATTCCAATCTTGCATTAAATTGACATTCAGAGTGAAACCAAGTGCTCAGACCCAGGAAGGTGCAACATGCTGATAGATGTCTGAGGATGGTGAAGGCAGAGCCATTTAACAGTACACGACATTGAGTTATGAGAGGATGTTAGAGATCATCCACTGGCAACTCACAAAATCATGTTAATGGTTAATTTTCATACGTGCCTAGAAAACAGGCAGCAAAAGCCTGTGGTCACTCCTGAGATGTTTTTCCAGTGTCTCCGAGATGGACTGTTGCTTTTGCTGAGTTTTACACCTCCATCATCCCTCCGTTGGCAGTGGAGCTCCTCCTCTCCACGCCATGTGGAAAGGAGAGTGAGGCCAAGTTTAGGACTTGCAGTGGGTGCATTCAGTGCAGACAAGGCACAGCAATGGGCTTAAGCACATGGTTAAAGTTAAGCTCTTGCCTAAAAATGCCTTGAGGTTGATCGTATTTAAGTAATTCCTGAAAATCGAAATCATATGCTTACGTTCTACAGAATCAAGACCTACTGCAAGTTATTGTAAAGATTGCATGGAAGAAGGTCTGCAGGTCCTGAAATGACTGCTGATTTTCAATAAAATAGGTATTTTGCTATCACTGCTAGAGTTAATTTACATGACCCTGACTGTAGTTTGATTTCCAACCTATCAAAAGCCTTAAGCAGCAACATCATGATACAAAGTAGATAAAACCAGAATTCATGTCCTTACTTTACAACATGTCCTTGATGTCAGTCATCTCAGAAATGTTTACTCCTGTGCTAACGCCCTCTGCAAAAAGCAGTCTGTAAAACTGGACAGCACAGCCTGAAAACCACGAGAGGTTGGCCCTGTTTGATACCTCCCCCTCCTCACATGACTGATGGAAACCAGACATTAACTCCACTCAACTTCCATGAAATCATATTAAGATGTAGGCTAAATTAGACCGCTGGCATGCTTTGAAGTGTGCCAATAGTCACAGGTTTAAAAACCACGTCTACGGATAAAGCTTTGCTGGATCGTGTCTCTGAACCAGCACAGGCAAGAGGAGGATTTGTGCTAATTCTGTCAGTCAGGAGTTTGTAACTTTTTGAGAACTACTGATCCTTTCAAATCACTACAACATGTTGATGTACAGCCTTTTATCCATTCAGAGATTAGACTGTTTCCACTACGTGGATGTGCATTAGCTTCAAGTGTACACACGAGGAGAAGATGCTGTTCATACCCAACAGCCTATGTGAGGTCCTCAGCACATTTATTTTCACTGGAGTACGTTTACTCCACAAACAATCCCTATTGATTT